TTTTTGATCGTCGCTCTTAGCCAATCAGAATCAAGGATCATCCGCGCATTTTTTGTGCGGCACCTAGGTTTAATGTCATCGTTGCACGACGCTTTATTCGTGCGACGCTTCGTAGTGCCCGCGTTGGTCTTGCATGGGTCTAGGGCCGGGTTTGCCTCTAACACTACAAAGGGCAAAATAATTTACTTTTTTTTTTGTTAACTATAGGTGGTGTATTAGTGTTACAAATTTGCTTTTATATCTACCCGGATATTTGGTAACCTGCATAAGATTACATATTCTGTACGTATAAATGTACAGTGCGTAAACATACGTCGTTTGTTCAATACTATTTACCTATCATGAAAGAAATACCAAACGAGTGAATTCTTATTAATCTTGCTGACGACAATAATAGTTTATTCTCATGTTGTCTTGTTAGTCGTCTTTGGTGTTTAAACACAATACAAATACTATGGAGTAACCCGTTACAAATAAAAGTTTCAGTATCACTTATACGAATATAACTTTCAATATTGTCTCCTGAAAAAAGAAACCACTAATTTCATTTGGTATAAAACTTCCTAAACTTCCAAAACTATTATTTATATATGAAACCTTAAAGATTTTAGATACTAGTTTAATTAAAAATGGAATAGAAAAGTGGCTTGAACATGAAGGATATATTAACTCTTACTGTTATAAAGAAAAGTTGAACAGTAATATTAATAAAAAAAAGTTGAGCCTTTTCAGCTGTTATTTTAATATACAATCGGTGAAACTCTGTGACAATTGTCAAATTTATAAAAAAAATTGAAATTAGCACCTAAGATTATTTTAGATTCTTTGACTACAATGTTTCTTCGGAGAAGTAAAGGGCTTGAGGAATTATCGATCAATGACTTACATATGCTTCCAACAACAACAACGTTCTTAAATAATATGTCAGGAATAACGCAATTAAAAACATTACGAGTTAATTTTCGTTGCTATAAAGATTATGAAGATATCATTAGCATGAAGAGAGTAATGAATAAATTAGATCTTAAAGTGGTTCCTAGTGATGCAAGCGATGCACTCGTAAACATTATGAAATCCCATAAAAAATTGGAAAACTTAGAGCTTGATGCTAATAGGATTGGTAGAAGTATTATCTTGTATAATGTTTCAAATGAAAAAAAAAAACTATGGTTGTTAAAAAAGTATATTATAAAAAGATTCTTTTTAAGTGCAATTTTTAAGAATTTTTTACTTACTTATTGTCTTATTAGTTAAAAGAATGAGTTCCCAGTGTGGACGCATCACTAAATTGAAGTTTATAAAGTAAGTTTCAAAATTAAAATTTTAATTTTGCAAATTATACGTCCTAAAAAATTATATTAATGATTACTAAACTAATTTAATTATACAAGAATGAACGAGATGACATACATAGCCTACGTTACATATAGGAAAGGTATACATAATCATGAGTATAAAACTTTATTGATAATTTGTAATTATAGCATGTTTTTTTTTATGCTAGGTGTTGAAGCAAGATACGCTTTAAGTCAGGCAAATGCTTATTTTGGTAATTTACTAATTACAGCAAACCCCCTGATGATATAAATTATACAAAATTTTTCCCAGCGTTAAAATATCTTGAGGATTCCTTAAAAGAACTTACATTATATAGATTTTTCCAAAATTTTTAGGGTACATTTTTTTAGGCCATTTATAAAGATTATA